AGAAGATTATAAGAAACTACTACAAACAATTATGTGCCAGAAAATTGGACAATCTGGAAGAAATGGATAAAGTTCTAGATTCATAAATCTTCCAACACTGAATCAGAAGGAAACAATCTGAATAGACTGATGATTACCAGAAAAATCAAATCAACAATAAAAAACTCACAACAAACAAATGCCCTGACCAGGATGGCTTCACAGGTGAATTTTATCAAACATTCAAAGAAGAATTACACTTATCCTTTTCAAACTATTTTAAAAAATTCAAGATAATGGAAGGCTCCCAAGCTTGTTTTATGAGGCCAGCATTACCCTGATTCCAAAACTAGATAAAGACATTACAAAAAATAAAATTATAGGCCAATACCTCTGATGAACATAGATGCAGAATTCCTCAACAAAATATTAGAAAACCAAATCCAACAATACATTAAAACGATCATATACCATGATCAAGTGAGATTTATTTCTGGGATGTAAGATTGGTTCAATATCTGCAAATCAACGTGACAAACCATATAAACAAAATGAAGGCTAAAAATCCTATGATTATATAAATAGATGAAGAAAATGCATTTGGCAAAACCCAGCACCCATATATAATGTAAAGCTCTCAGCACAGTGAAAAGAGCCAGAACATACTTCAACGTAATAAAGTCTGTACATGACACATCCGCAGCTATCATCATACTCATTGGGGGAAAGCTAAAAGCTTTTTCTTAAGATCCAGAACATGACAAAGATGTTCACCTTCACCACTTTTATTCAACATAGTATTGGGAGGCCCAGCCACAAGATTCAGACAAGAAATAAAGGCATTTAAATTGGAAAGGAAAAAGTAAAACTTATTATTTGCAAGTGATACGACATTACATAGAACCCTAAAGATTCCTCCAAAAACTACTAGAATTGTTAAATGAATTTAGAAAAGTAGCAGGATACAAAATTACTGTTTAGAAATTGATTACAATTTTACACACCAACAATGAAATATCAGAAAGAGAAAATAAAAAAACAATCCCATTTACAATTGCATCTGACAAAAATACCTAGAAATACATTTAATCAAGGAGGTAAGACCTATAATCAGAAAATTAAAATACATTGAAGAAAGATATTGAAGAAGATACAAATAAAAACATAGACCCACTCATGAATAAAAAGAATTAACATTGTTAAACTGTTCATACTACCCAAAGCAATCTATAGATTTTAATGCAATTCCTATCAAAATATCACAGGCATTTTTCACAGAATTAGAACAAATAATCTGAAAATTTACATGGAACCCCAAATGACCCCAAATAGCCACAGCAATCTTGAGAAAGAAGAAGGAAGTGTGATACACTACCTTATAACCATACCACAAGGCCATAGTAATCAAAACAGCATGGTACTGGCATAAAAACAGACATAAGGATCGATGGAACAGAATAGAGAGTTCAGCAATAAACCCATGATTATATGGTCAATTAATCTATGATAAAGGAGGCTAGAATATACAATGGGGTAAAGACAGTCTGTTTAATAAATGGTGTTGGGAAAATGGGACAGATATATGCAGAAAAAATAAAACTAGACTACTTTCTTTCACCATCCACTAGAATAAACTCAAAATGGATTAAAGGACTTAAATGTAAGACTTGAAACCATAAATTCCCTAGAAGAAAACGTAGGCAGTAAATTCTCAGGCATTGATCTTAGTGATAATTTTTACTGATATAGCTTCTTGGTCAAAAAGTAAAAATAAACACATGGGGCTACATCAAACTACAATGTTTTTGCACAACAAAAGAAACTACCAACAAAAAGAATCTCCTGAATGGGAGAAGATATTTGGCAATGATACCAAGTAAGGGGCTAATATCCAAAATTTATAAAGATCTCATACAACTCAATGCCAACCAAAAACAAACAAACAAACAAACAGTTCATTTAAAAATGGACAGAGGACCTGAATTCAGGGTGTCCCCAAAATGTATATACACTTTGAATAATTAATTCCAATGGGTTAAATCTGAAAAGAAAGAGGTGTCAATTGATCTATCAGCTCTTAAGTGGGTATACATTTTTTTGGGACATCCTATAGACATTTCTCCAAGGAGGACATGCAGACAGCCAGTATACCTATTAAAAGATGACCAATATCACTAATCATCAGAGATGCGAATTAAAATGACAATGAGATTTCACCTCATACCTGTCAGAATGGCTCCATCGATAAACCAACAAACAAGTGCTGGTGGGGATGTGGAGAAGAGGAAACCCCTGTGCATTGTTTTGGGGATTGCAAATTGGTGCAGCCACTATGAAAACAATATAGAGGTTCCTCAAAACATTTTTAATAAAACTACCATATGACCCAGTAATTCCAATTCTTGGTATTTATTTGAAGAAATAAAAAACCACTAATTTGAAAAGATATATGCACTCCATGTTCACTGGACCATTATTTATAAGANGTATTTATTTGAAGAAATAAAAAACCACTAATTTGAAAAGATATATGCACCCCATGTTCACTGGAGCATTATTTATAAGAGCCAAGATAGGGAAGCAGCCCCAGTGAATGAAAGGGAGGTGGTGCCTACACACAGTGGATAGTACTGAGCCATAAAAAGAATGAAATCTTACCATTTGTGATACCACGATGGACCTAGCGGGTGTTATGGGAAGTGAAATAAGTCAGCCAGAGACAAGGACCACATGATTTCACTTATATGTGGAATCTAAAGAACAAAACAAATGAACAAATGAAACAGAAAGAGACTCCTAGATGCAGAGAACAAACTGATGGCTGCCAGATGGGAGCAGGATTTGGGGGCTGGGTGAGAAAGGAGAAGGGACGAGAAGTACAAATTGGCAGTTACAGAAAAGTCACGGGGATGTAAGTACAGCACAGGGAACATAGTCAATAATATGGGAATTACTGTGTGTGGTGTCAGTTTGGTACTGGAATTGTCGGAAGAGCACTTTGTAAATTATATAAACATCTAACCACTACACTGTACACCTAAAACTGGTATAAAATAATGTTGAATGTCAACTGTAATTTAAAGTAAAAATAGATGAATGGGTAATGGTGGTGCATGTGCACGCACATACACGCGACTTTTATTCATCCATAAAAAGGAATAAAATCCTGCCATTTACAACAACATGGATGGACCTTGAGGGCATTGTGCTAAGTGAAATAAGTCAGATGGAGACAGACAAATATTGCATAATTTTACTTACATGTGGAATCTGAAATAACAATTCACGGATAGAGAGAACACATTGGTGGTTGCCGGAGTCAGGGGGTTGGGAGTTAGGTGAAATGACCAAAGGTGGTCAAAAGGTACAAACTTCTACTAGAAAGTAAGTGAGCCCTGTGGATACACAATGCACACATGGTGCCTGTAATTAAAAATGCTAAGTGGCATATTTGAAAACTGCTAAGAGAGTAGTTTTAAAAGTTGTAACTGTGTGGTGATGGATGTTAACATTGTGCTGATTATTTCCCCAAATATATATATACATGTCATTATGCTGTACACCTGAAACTAACGTACTGTATGTTAATTATGTCTCAGTTTTAAAAGCGTCGTTCTGACACAGCGACAGAAAAATAAACCAATGGAAAGTAATCGAGAGCTCACAAACAGGAGTACCGACACTGAAGCTTGATACCCAGTAAAGTGGGAAGTTCCAAGGGGAAAAGATAAATTGTTCAATAAATTCCTTTGAGAGAAAAAAAAGATAATCAGGTCTCCATTCACCCCTGTCCAGAGTGAGCATGAGGACCAGGCCCCTGGCACAAGCGGTGTCTCTTTCTGAGAGACCTTTGTTGTTTAACACTTTAGAGATTCTGGGTTTTCTGTTATGGGACCACCACCCAGCTTATCCTGATCATCGATGTCAATCAAGTGGGAAATCCAGAGGCCAAGAATAAAAGTGCGGCAGGAAAGGGTTTAGTTTAAAAGCTTTAAAAAAAACCTATAGTCTTAAATATCGAAATTTCTAATGACTTTGACATGAAAATCAAGAAAGAGGAGTTATTAAATACTAAAACCCTTCCTTGTATGTTTTTAGCTAAAATTCATCTAATGAAATCAAGTGAAAAGATAGTAAGACATATTGTGTTCAATTCAGATTCTGTCTGATTGTGAAATCTTAACTGGTGTGGGTGGTGCCGTGCATTAGCTCATCTGAGTCTTCCGAACTTGAGAGGAGTCTGGAGCTGAAATTTCTATGTGAAAAAAGAACATCAACGTCCACCACAGAGAAGATGTATTGTGTCTCACGGAGAATAGATGGTTTCATTCCTTAATCCATCTCAACGCGCATTTTCCCAAAAGACCTTACGATGTCCAAGTTGAGGCAGATGCGTATTTTTCTGCATCAATACTGCTGTCCTTTAAGCCACACAGCACGTGTGACCAAGACAAGCCACACTCGCTGGTGTTCCAGGGGGCTGGGTGAACAAAGCAGCTCAGTGCAGACCCAGCCTGCGTCCCTCTGCTTCCAAGGGTGACAGCGGGACATGCCTCTACCTGTGAGAGACAGGAGTGGCATCCGCCCCACAGGTACGGATGCTGAGGATTTCTGCTCAGCTCTTCACAGACTTCTGGGAAAAATCAAAATTGCCATCAACTTAAATCCGAAACAATTTCAAACTAAGCTTGAAGTGGTTTTTACCTTGTTTTAACCTTAAAAAGAGAGGCATTTCAGGGATGTATTTAATAGGCCCTCCATTTGGTAGTTAATTATAATAAATGTGTGTTTACGTACTACTTACAAAAGAGGGTCGACCTGCTTCTCTTCTGCGCAGCCACCTTAGTGCCCTGTGTAAGTACCCACAAAGCCACATAATAAAGTGCATTAAAGCTCTGGCTAGCAGTGTAGACCTGATCCTATTGTTGCCGCCACTGCTTCCTTTTTAAAATCAGAGCATGCTATTTGGTGTGCAGGGCTTAACACCAGCAAGAACGATTTCAGCCATCAAGTAATGAGAATACTGAACACAAAGTTTATTTAAGCATAAAACACATTAAAAATTATTTGGTTGATTTAAAAAAGAGAAGGAATTGGGTCTGAGGGGATGGGATAGGGGATGGAGTTCTCAAGGTCTGCAAACAGTATACCCAGTGACCAAGCTGCCATGGCAAGGTTGAAGGACACGAGGGTAGGGAAGGGGTTCATCATAAAGAAAAGGAGCAACACATGCATATCATAGACCAGACACTTGCAAACTTCAGAAAGATTCTTCAGAGGGAGTCGAGCCTCCCAGTCACTGCTGCTCCACATGTTCCACAGGCCCCTCTTTGTAAAAGCTATGATCCGGAAACAGCGCTGGCTGGACAGACTCTCTGCTCAGATTCCAGTCAGACGTTTCTAACCAGAATTTCTTCCTTCACTGGTTATTTACGTGAATCAGTTTCTAGTGACAACTGTTTGAAACTTTTAGGCAAGATACATGCTTTCCACAACTGGCTTTAGAAGCCCCATTGTGTGCTTTGAAAGAGGAGCTTGGAATTTCACTCATCTCCAGATCTCTAACCACTTGAGGCAGGTGGCATTGTGTTGAGATTCTGGACACTTTCGAATAGGTTTTGACTTAAGGGCACACACCTTTTATCCTACAGGGAATTGAAAAAAGTAAATTACAGTACTTCATATAGCAACCTTGAGTTAATTATGAGGTCGTGACTGATTTATACACAAAATGCCACAGTGAAATCTGGGTCACGATGAGAAGCAGCGTCCAGATTTGACGTTCAGTGGAAGAGTTAGAGGCTGTGAACAGAAAGGCACATAGTGAGTCCTATGAAAATAAACCTTTTTGATAAAGATCAGAGATTTCTGCAGATCCAATTAAAGGAAAGTGCATTTCTAAGAACTCACTTCATCCAAATGGCCACAAAGCAGCAGAATTAACCCAACCTTCAGAAGACTCAGTGGGCACCAGGGAGACCCTGAGCTAAGGCTGCTGCAGGAAATCTTGTTTGTTGAATCAAACATTCCAAAACCAATCACAGCCCAGTAGACTTGGTGACCATATTTAAGGCCAATATTATTATTTTTAAAAATCGCCTTCATCTTTTAGTGAAAGAACAGGGACCCAATGGTTTAAAAAAACCAAAATGGTGCTAAAATTTCTTGGGAGTTTTTCTAATCTTTCCTTCTTAATTTCTAAATTTTTATAGCTTCGTTGCTGTCTGCTTGAGCCTCAGTCATGGCTTTCTCCTCTCAGTATAAGGAAGTTCCTGTGCCCCAGCTGCCTGCCCAGAATGGGGGGGGGTGTCTACCTCTGCAGCTCTTGCCGTCCTCCTGCAGGGCGCCTGTCACACAGCTGCACAGAGGCCCCTCCACCCGGCTGGTACAGATCTGCTCGCACCCTCCGTTGTCCTCACACCAGTCCAGCCCTGAAAAGAACAGTCAAGGTAACTGCACACAGTTCAACTCTTCAACTCATATCTATGGGCAAAGCTTAAAGAGAGGGAAGAACAGAGGAAGCCCAATGTGACTGTGAGGGTTTGTTTGTGTTTTCTTAAAAATACATTTTTATTGATTTCAGAGAGAGGAAAGGAGAGGGAGAGAGAGAAACATCAATGATGAGAGTCATTGATCGGCTGCCTCCTGCACGCCCCTGACTAGGGATCGAGCCCACAACCCGGGCATGTGCCCTGACGGGGAATCGAACCCCGATCACCTGGACCCTAGGTCAATGCTCAACCGCTGAGCCACGCCGGCTGGGTGTGATTGTGAGTTTTTAATAGTCGAGAAAAATATTTCAGGAGAGAAACAAGATGGCGGCGCAGGTAACAGCTGCACCCGCCGCTCCCGCAACCACATCAAAATCACAACTAAAATACAGAACCACCAGCACTCAGAGCCTCCTGAGATCTGGCTGAACAGAATCCCCACAACCAGGGAGCTGAAGAAGCGCCGAGACTGGTAGGAGGGGTGGAGACGCGGGCAGGTCGGGGCTGAATCGTGGAGACAGCCGCGGGCCCACACCCGGTGCCGCGGGTTAAACCCATGAGGGACATCTCGGTGGTGGGGGTTTCCCGGAGGAGTGAGGCCCCCAGCCCAGGGCTCCAGGGCCAGGGAGAGACGTCCCCACAACTCCAGGCTGTGACACCAGCGGGACTGTCCCTAAGGGTCCCGGAGGCTGCGGGAGCCCCAGCAGTTCCTCGGACGCTCCCTCTGAGCCCAGCGCCGGGCAGCAGGCTGAAAGGACCTGGGACACTCGGGGAGGAACTAACCTGCCTGAAGCCTGGGTGAGGGAGGGGCAGCTTCCTCCCAAGCAGAAGGGCTGGCGGAGGCCATGGCTCCTTTGGCGAGTCTGCTCTGCACACAGCTGGCAGGCAGGTGCCATATTTGAGTCGCCAGCACCTGACTCGCACCTTTGGCCCCGCCCCGTGATTCCCAGAGGCCCCGCCCCTCCCCACCCGCAGGCTCATCCAGGCCGTTTCCAGTGACTTTTCTGTATAAGTGGCCTCTCAGGCCTCATGCTTAGGACTTTCCTAAAATCTCTCAAACAAGCAGCAGCGGGCCCCATACGGCTTGATAAGTGGCCCCAGGCCTGGCACTAGCGGCAGCTGCACTGGCTCATAGCTTGGCCTCTCCTGGATGCCTCCAAGCTCAGCACAAGTAGCAGCCAACTACGGTTTGCTGTGTAGCTCATGCTGGGTGGCCCTGGGCAAGGCACTGGCACAGGCTGACTTTGCACCTCCCGGGAGGCCCCAGAGACAGTGCACCTGGTGGTCAGACTCGACCACGCTGGATTACAACCCTACCACATCCACAAGTGACACACTCAAGGGGTACACTTGGTGAACACCAAAGCCCCACTGAAGTAAATCCTGCTCCATACCGGTGTCCCCAGCACAGCAGCTCTCTGGCTATAGTTGCAGCTCGTCCTCATAGCTGATTGGCCTGGGGGTCAGCTCCTCCACAACAGGACAGTGCACACAGCCCACACAGGGGAGCACCT